ACGGCTGACGCGAGGCGGCCCAGCCAACCAGCGCGCGAAGCCCGGTTCCGCTCATTGGCTCGATCGCCTCGCGCTAGCCGAGCTCGCCTCTCATTGGTCACTGTTTTTCGTTGATAACTCGTTAACGGTGCCTCGGAGAAAATTTTTGTAAAGGAAAAAGTTGCTTCGAATGGCCCGAGGAACCCGCCACTTTCGGATTGCGAGACATTTTTGGGACACCCTGTATATACAGACAGAATATACAGTATCAGACTCTGTACAGTACATATCAGACTCTGCCGTTCAGAGAAATAGCCTCGCACAGAATTCAGTCGTACCTAAAACGTTAATGCTGCGATGATCGACGAACCTACCTCGGGTTTATTATGCGTGTCAACATCCAACGGGGACGCGAACTGGCACACCAACGTATTCTGCTTCAGTATAACTGAAACGACAAACGAAATCACATGAGATCATCGTCGAGGCTTTTGAACCGCGGTGGGCGACAATCGTCCCGTCCCGATCTCCGATCCCCGCGGATCGAGATCGAGTCGTCGTTCTCGTAGCGCGCGCGTGGCACCGTCACGAAGGAACCGCGAGCACCCGTTCGATTTCGCAGAGGCGCGCGATCCCGATAGTCTGCTCTTTGATCGATCGCGAATTACGCGCGAGGGTCCCATTGGAATTCCGGTCCTGCGATCGATTATTATATATTATATTATTATTATATTATTACTGCGAGCCAAATGCAGTAATGTCTCTCTAATTGACGCTCGGATCGTCCACAAAAATGGACAATTTGGGAAGTGGAGATACCATTAACCGAGTCTTGCAGCTCGTTTTTATAGTTGTTGACAATTCGTGACTATAAAAATTAACCGCAAGAATCGAATAATCGTCTCTCTTCTCTTCCAAAATTGTCCACTTTTCTGGACAATCCGAGCGTCAATTAGAGAGACATTACTGTAACACCGCGGAACGAAACATTCGATTCGCGACGATTCGTGGCCTCGAACGTCGCGGCCATCGTCGCGAAAGGAAAGGAAAGGGTTCGCGGACGAAACGTGTCGCGGTCTCGTCTCTTTGTCGCCGGAATCGGCCGACTCGCGCACCTCTGCGAAAGCGAAGGCGTCGCTCTATTTTCGTTTTGCCGGCGAACAAAGGCTTCGCGCGGCGCGGCGCGGCGCGTCGCGTCGTCTCGCGGTTCCCTTTCCGGACGGAGGAAAAAAAAAGTGAATTGCATACAAACCGAGACGGTGTACCGTGTCACGGGATAGGAACAGAAGATTGAACGGTACAGTTCGAATTACGGACCGGTTAGCTTCCCTTCAGCCTAAGTCCATCTTTCACGTAGTCGTTGTAACGAGGCGTAGACGCGGCCGTCCCGATGCCGACTTTCCGACGACGCATTTTTAGCGTTAGTCGCGAAATAGTTTCGCAAAGGTTCGAGGGCCGCAGGAATTGCCTCGGGGCCGGTTGGAGAGAGTTCTCGAGGACTCTCGCTTCGACGCCCTTTATGCTACGGTCCTACCACCGCCTGTCGCTCTCTAGATCACGCCTACGGTGCACCCCTTTCGCAGAAAATCGTATCGGACGTGAGAAGATCGAGTCGGTCTCGACTCGGCGAAGGCGACGATGCTTTCGAAAAAAAGAAAAAAAAAATGTGGAACACAATTTCTCGACGTCGAACCACGCGGGGTACCGTCCGACAATGCCAGCGATAGTTTTCGCTCGATCTTCGAATATATAAATCGCGAAAGCGTCGAACGTCGCGCGCGCGCGTAGACGATCTCGCGCGCAAAGGAAGCGTAAACAAGTGTCAAACGTCGCCCAATCGGACTACTTAGATTATCCCCACGGAGCACAGACGTTTCCCTCTACTCTGTTCGTATCTAAAATGGCGCCGGGACAATGGCTGAGCAGCCTAACGCGATTAAGATCGCTTTTCCGCGGACACGTCCGTCCGAGAAATTCTATTCCACAGAGGCTTTTTTGCTCGTTCTATGTTCTACGCGATCGGGCCGCGACTCGTCCCGTTTCGATCGCCGAACGTCGCCGTGCCAGGGACAAACCGGAGAAAACGCGCGCCTTTTCCGACGATCGCTCGATTCGACCGGTCCGCTCTCGACGAGCGGGTTCTCCTATTGTTAATTCCGACGGGGCAGCACCGCGATCGCGAGCACCGATCGCGAGCAGGAATCCAGCCGTTTGGCAAGCGGGCGGGGAAAACGCGGTCCTGTAGGTCGGGTCTCGTGTCAACGAACGTGGAACACGTGAGGAAAATTGTACGCGTCTTTTTCCAATATTTCCTCACCAGATTTTACGTAATACCGTTGAAAACACGCGCGAACGGAGATGCTCTTGAGCAACGGCCGCGGGTATTACGTGTTGCCCGTCTGTTACACAATACGCGTGGAACAGTATCGTCGGACTATTTACAATCGAGCCTCCCGCTTATCGATGGGTATCTCCGAAACGGACGCGTTCCGTTCACGGGCCCGAAAACAGGGGAGGAAATTTATTCGTCGGGAGGGACGAAACGTTCCAACGCGCGCCACCCTTTATTTCGACCGAACGTTGCCACGTCCCTGTTTCGAACACGGCCCTTTCTATTCCATCGCGGAGCGATTACGCTATTGCTTCGATTACGATCGAAATTCGACGAGCTGTTTAATTACACGCGCGCGTGTCGGTACCGTTTCAATCTTTATACCGGTCTAATCTTTGATATACCTTTGCATCGACGGACGAAATTTTCTACCGAAATTCTTGCGATCGAGTGCGACCTAAATGGAACAAGATCCGCGATCCAGCGATTACTATCGAGAATCCGAAGGGCGACGGCTATCTGGAAATCGCATATATGTATCGAGCGGTGAAAGTCGAGCGGTTCGAACGAGGAAAGCCGGGGCCGACGATAGGCCGAGACGAGAACGATCGCCGTTTCTGCGCGACTTCCTAGCGATGATGGATCAGCGCGAGACCTTTACACGGTGTTCCTATTTGTCGTGCCGCGGCACAATGTAATCGTTGTGTCGGTCTCTCTCTCTCTCTCTCTTTGTGTCGCGGGCAGGGGACACGCGCGTCGCAAAAATAACGTTCTGGCAGCGGGTCGATCGAAATGTCAGTGAACGAGGCACGATTGCACAATGGGCAAGCCGCGATCATTTTATTTAAAAGTCTCGGTGGTCTCGCTCTTTTTGCCAGCGCGATATCTCTCGGCACAACGAGCCGCTGTCCTCTCCTCGGCGTTAATCTTCTCTCGGCGGCAACATGGTAAACAACGTGCCCGCCGCGGCGAGAGTCGAGTCGAGTCGAGTCTGAGTCCACTCGCGACTCGGAAAACTATGTAGATCGGGACGCGTGGCCGATCTCGATCGAGAGATCGCCGGACTTACGGCTCACGGCTGCCTCTCCGGACCGGAAATTTTCGAGCGGATCGATCCCTTGTCCTCCTCGAAGGTTTAAATCGACGTTTTCTCGGACGAGAGCAAGATCGAAGCGAGAAGTCGACGCGAACGATCGCGGCGGACGGGTTCCCAGCGCGCGCGAAGAACACCGGCGATTTCTTAAGCTGCGAGGACGGTTTTCGCGAAACTGTCGGCGGCCGGCGGCGAAGAAAAGCGCGGAGAAACCGTGCAACGATCTGGCGGGGATTCTTTGTCACTGTCGCGTCACGTGTAAGATATTCCTTTATCTTGTGGAACTACGACGCGTGTGCCTATCGTATCGCCTTATTTTCGCGCGGCGGATATCTTGAATCAATTTAATTTGGCTTTAGATTACGCGGCTTTATCGCGCTACCTTTGTTTTTTTCGATCGCTCTCCGATGGAAATGTCGGCTGCTCTTCGTTCGACGTACCATACGTATACGTAGAGCCGTTGCGTATCGTACGTGTGTATATTTATTCGCGTGTACAGGGTGTCGTCGGGTGTCGGTCGGGGTGGGGGCGAACCTACGTTGAATGATAAGTCCCGCGATAAATCTTCTTTCCGGGAAAGAGATTTATTTGCGCGAGTGAAAGCGATTTACCGATTATCGAATACAGATTCGACTCTTCCTAGGGTCGGTGATTGCATCGAATTACGGTAATGTCTCTCTAATCGACGCTCGGATTGTCCGCAAAAGTGAACAATTTTGGAAGAGGAGATATACGATTATTATTTATTTGTTATCGATTGTCGACAACTATAAAAACGAGTTGCAAGGCTCGAACAATCGTATCTCCAATCGCAAACTCGTCGCAAAATCGCAACTCGTTTTTATAGTTGTTGGCAATCGATAACAAATAAAAATCGAGCCACAAAGCTCGAACAATCGTATCTCCTCTTCCCAAATTGTCCATTTTTCTGCACAATCTGAGCGTCAATTAGGGAAACATTACTGTATGTTCGATTCGTTAGCGACTGCTCGTCCGGTCGTAGATATTCGTCGATCGCGTGGCACTCTGTGCACAAGAAATTGAAACTAACGCCTGAAGACAACGGAAAGAAATAACTAAAAATAGCAGCGTACACAACAATAGGAACGGTCTAGCCTGGTCGAGGAGATAATAAAAAGTCTAGCGCTAGAACAATCTGACCTAACGCTCTCTCAAATATTGGTTCACCGATTTGTTTTATGGATTAAGCCGACATTTAGACTGCGGATGAACGCTTCGTCGAGCCTCGTCGAGCTCTCGATACTCGAGAGGAATAATCCCGAACCGAGGGCGATGATTTCGTAAGAATTTCCCGGACCGAACCGATTCTTCGTTACCGTTTCCCCCGTTTCTCGCGATCAGGGATCCGCGTGTCCAGTCGTTCGATACCTTCGCGTTCGATACGCGGAACGAGTAGGGATATCGGGACTATAAATAAGACAACGTTTAAAAATAGCAGGTGATCGGGGCGACTCTTCGGACTTTTCCCGACCAGCCTTCTTTCCGTCAAGCGCGATGACTCAAATCGAGCTTGTAAGCTGCCCGCTCGACGGAATAAAGAAATCGTCTTCTCGTCGCGACGCGATCGTTAATGCTGCGACAACGGCGGGGACAAGGGGAGTGGACGATGGAGGTAGGGAGCGCTTCTTTTCAGACTAATTATCAGGACTGCGAATCTCCATTTTCATTTAACCTTTGCCAGCGGGGGAGAACTTTCGTCGACGGTGGGAATTTGCGCAAAGATTCGCTGCCCGAAGATTGGCACGAGGTTGATCGCTGGAAATTTTCGAAAGAGCGTTCTCGAGATAACGCTCGTCTCGTTTCTCTTCATTTTTGTATCGTTCCGTTCGAAACACTCTTTCCGTCACTCTTTTTTGTAATTCCGCCGGAATTTCTAGAGACTTCGCCGCAGGAAGTTGGCGAGAAGGGGGCGGACGAAGAGACGGACGCGCTCTTCAAGGATGGACCGACTTCGCCGTAAACCGTCTCGACCCTCGAACCGTGGACCGTGACCGTTTGCCGTGACAACTCACCCGAGGACGGAGGAACGCTCGGGAATGGAAAAAACGAGAAGTTCGACGTTATCGGGTAGTTCGGATTATCGCGCGGAACGAGTGTTAAAGGTCGGCAAAATTAGCCGGTAGCCGGCGACCGTTTCACGGTCTTAGCATTTCCGGTCACGGTCGCGGCGCCGTTTTCGCTCGAGACAATTAGAGGATCGCCTCCCGGACGCAGATAATATCGACCGGACAATGCCGTGGACCGTGGACGAATATTTGCGCGAACGACTTCGGGCGTTCGCTCGGTTATACAGTAATGTCTTTCTCTAATTGCTGGCCCAGACTGCGCACAAAAATGGACAATTTGGGATGAGGAGATACGATTATTCGAGCCGTGCGGTTTATTTTTATAATCACGAATTGTCAACAACTATAAAAACGAGCTCTCCTCTTCTCCCAAATTGTCCATTTTCGTGCACAATCCGAGCGTCAGTTAGGGAGACATTACTGTACATGTGTATCGAGCGAAGTGCAGTAATATATCCCTAACTGGTGCGTAGATTGTGTACAAAAATGGACAATTTGGGAAGAGGAGATACGATTAGTATATATATTTTATTATATTAGTATTATTATATTATTTATTATATTAGTAGTATAGTATATTAGTATATATATTTTATTATATTAGTAGTATAATATATTAGTATATATATTTTATGGTTATAAATTGTCCACAATTATAAAAACGAGCCGCAAGGCTCGAACAAATCGTATCCCCTCTTCCCAAATTGTCCATTTTTGTGGACAATCCGAGCGTCAATTAGAGAGACATTACTGCATTTGGCTCGCAGTAATAGATACAGTAATGTCTCTCTAACTGGCGCTCGGATCGTGCAGAAAAATGGACAACTTAGGGAGAAGAGAGACGATTATTCGATCCTTGCGGTTCATTTTTATAGTCACGAATTGTCAACGACTATAAAAACGAGCCCCGAGGCTCGCATAATCGTGTCTCTTTCATCTGAAATTGTCCATTTTTGTGCACAATCTAAGCGTCAATAAGGGAGACAGTTACTGTACGTCGGCCGTTGGCACGACGATCGCGTTACACGCGGAGATCCTTACACTGCATATGCCAGCATCTCCAGATCACGTTGTTCATCCTGATCTTGTCCTTCCATCTCAGCCTGATCCCTTTGAACCGATTCCACTTGGGCGATGTCAGTTTCTGTCTGGAACAAATTCAAATGCCCATACGTCATACCCACTGAAAAATCTTTCGCCTAATCGGTCGTCGAGCGTTATATGCCGACCGTTCTATTATCTTTGGCGACAAGCCTCGACGGCGCGGATTAATTCGGCTTTGGGAAATTTATGCCGCGTTATCGTAGTCGGATGCAGCCGGTGGCATCGCCTCCAGCTGCCATCGCTGCAGTCCGCTGGAGACTATAGCGATTCTAATTTTATAGTCGGACGGGGTAAGCCGCAAAAATCGATTGCGGCGGCAAGGGGGGAGATCGGGGGACTAAACGATTGTTCAACCTGTGTCGCTGGATCTTTATTTAAGACGCATTTAAACGCGTCTCGCATCCTTTGGAATAAAAATTTGTTCGATCATCGAGCTTCGCTCGCTCGTCTCTGCCATAAATCTGTAGAATCCAGGATCTAGCAATTACGTTCGGCGCTACAGCAATTGTAAGTCAATTATGCAACGAACCTGAAAACGGTTTTCTATACGCGATCGTTTTAATTCGATCGAGGCGCGCCTACGGACAAATCTGCCGAACGAATTCTTGTAGAAACATTCTTATCTCTCTAACAATTGCAAAACCAGTAATCTGGTAGTTCTAAGTCTAACGATCGAGATAATGAACCGTTTCCCTACTAAAAGCAGTCCGTTCGAGCTCTATTTAATTATAATATTTGCTCGAGCCTCGTAAAAACCAGATAACGAGAAGCAGATTTTCTAGCAGCGTTTCTTCTCGCCTCGTCTCGGCCACCCGATTTCACGAATCGGCGCGAATTTTATGCGACCCGGGGCAAGGTTGTCGTCCGGCCTGGTCCAGAAAATGCGAACGCGAGATTCGAGGAGGATGCGACTGCGACGATAGGCGGACGCGCGCCGGCCGCGGTCGAAGAAACAGACGGAATTATCGAGCGAAGCGGTTCGTGGAAGTTGTTAGTCGAACCATCGTCTCGCTATAAACGGCTCAAGCCTAATCCGCGGAGCTTTCGATAGACCTGGAAGGCGTTGGAAAAATTAATCCAGCTTTATCGGTGCTCGTCGAGCGGCGCGGTTTCCTGCGGCATTGGACATCGCTTAAGATGAAATCTCCATTGAAAACAAGTTTCGCAAAACGTATTAACGCTAAACCGACCGTGTCAAGATGACCGGTTTCGCGTGTTTCGTTTGAAAATACTTGGAATCGCGAGGACTCGTTCGTCGTTGAAGAATCGAAATAAATTCGATCTCGTCGTCGTCCTCGTAAAGGAACGCGCGTCGACGGTGTAGCCGTTTTAACCCATTGACTGCCACGCAAATTTAGCGCGTCTTGCCCCGGGTGCCACGGTTTTATTTCAAAGAAAACATGAAGTTTTACAAAATATTATAATAATATTAAGTTACCGATATAATATTGCAATGGAATTTACAGTATTTTCATTGAAAAATCTCTACAAAAATTCTCTACACTATATACATTTTTCCTAATTCAAATAGTCATTTGTAGCCAATCTAAACTTGCAGCACCCACTACGAGATATCTCGTAGCTGGCAATTTTGGTACAGACGCTTGCTATGAGATATCTCGCAGTTGGCAGTCAATGGGTTAACGCGTCGATCGGAACCGAACACCGGCGATCCTTTCGATTCTGCCGCACGCCGCGAATCCTAACGCAACCTGGCCGGCTCGACTATTTGGCAGGAATTAGTTTCCAGATCAAAGGATGGTGCCGTCGCCTCTATTCTACGTGCGACCGACGCGGCGGTAAACAAGAACTCCAAAAGTCTAGCATGCGGAAAAGCCCGAGCCGAAACCAGGAAGAGCGAAATCCAAGAATAAAGCTGATGCATCGAGGAAACGGCGGAACGAGGCGCTTCCTGGTCGACCCCGCTCCGACGACGAGAAAACCGCTGTCGACTTATCGTCAGAAATCGTTTTGCCAGTAAGAAAGAAGCAGCGTTTGCTCGAGCGTGGCGAACGCTTCGCCGCGTTTAGCCGACCGGGGCGAACGGTGCCCGGCGCGGAACGATTTTCCAGAAGAAGCGTTCGCAGATCGTTCGATCTCGCGTCTCGCGGCGTTATTGGCGGCGCGAACGAATCGGCGAGATACTCGTTATCAGCGTTCCCCGATGATACATCATCTTTGATCGGAAAGTCAACAACTGGGAACGCCGCTCCGCTCCGCGCCGCTTCGCTTCGCGCCATGGCGCGCCAATAGGAACATTTCCACTGACTACACATATTCGACAAACGCCGCGGACGTTCTCCTTGGCATTAGACCCTGGCCACCCTAGCCAGTTTTTCATTTCTTTCTCCAGCGCACGATTAGATAACGCGCGCGCGCGCGCGCGCGGAAGATGGCCGAGGCCGACGTATTTCCTGGAAAAACTCGCGTCGGCGGTCGAAGACGGCGACGGGCCGGGAATACGATTCGAATACGATTCCCTCAACGCGAGTCCGTAAATTCCGCTCGATAGAGAGCATCGAGAGTTTCTGGTCCGCTAGCTTCGAAAATGAAGCGGATAATACCGCGGAGAGAACTCGACCACGTAACTTTTTCTGGCGTAAACAAAGATGATCGACGTAACCGGGTGCGTAACCGGGGAAATTTGTTCTTGGTATCGAAGAAATCGCGCTTCGTTTTCGGTCTCGCAGCGCCGAAAGAATTCCCGATATCGCGCGGAGGGGCGAGCTTATCTGCATTTGGAGACTATCGAGGGAGAAAAAAGAAGCGTTGAAAAATGGGTTTCTAGCGCGGAGCGCGGATCGATCGTTTATCAGTCGGAGATCCCTGACCTGGAATTATCGAAAACGACGGGTTCGACCAGGGTCCGAAAAGCCGTCGACGCGATCCCGGCCGTGTCCCGATCCGAAATTATCGGATCGAGCGACGCGCAAGATCGAATGAAATACGTTTGGTACGCAGGAACGATTGCCGCTTATCTCGCTACGCTCGGTGCGATCCGTGCGACCGCCTACGACCGGCGCTTATTAGTAAAACAATTAAGGAATTATAGCGCGCGGCGCGATTAAGCCCGCTTCGGGAGAAATATTCTGGCAAACGGTCGAGAGGAGGCAGGCGGCCGATTACCGAGCCACGCCGAGATTTACGAGTAGCCGGTGCCAAGGCGTGCCTCTTTCTCGGCCAACAGAGCCACGATTTCCTCGATCGAACGAGCGGGGCTGGATCCACGTTATCGGATAACGAGCTGTTTGCCTGCCGAACAATCGATGGCCCGATTTATGTATCGCCGAAGCGGCGAAGCGCGCCGCCTCGATTCACCGCGATTTCCTTCGAGATTTCCATATCGTTAGATACGGCTTATCTAACGCTTTTCCCACCGGTTCCTGGGCCAGCGAGTTTCTGGAAAATCGGTTACGCAAACCGGTGCAATCGCGTCACGTGTCTCGCTCTGCAATGCCGCAATCGGCGACGAACAGTTGCAGTCGATGACTCGACGAACTCCCGCGCCTGCGATCGCAATTTTCGTCGAATTTCCCTTTTCGGGAAGCCGATGTCCTCGAGAAGAGAAAAGATGGAATGCTGCAGATTTTACGTACTGTACCGATTTTACAGCTGCACGAATCGGACGGTCGAGGCGGCAAGTCTCGGCGTTATGTATTCTCCGGGGAATGCCAGAAGAAACGGAATCGTAATTTGCGTTTGCAGCGAAATCGATTTCTCCCCGACGAAATTTCTTCTAGAAAACGTCTTTCAACTTTTCTACGGAAAACGAATTCTAGGTATGCGACGACCGTTGCATCCCGTTAACGCTTAGCCAACCGAATAGGGAGATCTCCCCGTTTTAAATTCAGTCGGTCGATGATCGATTGGGGAAATCTTCCACGTGTAATTAAAAATGACTGCTTAGTTTTATTAAGATTTGTAAGAGGTACGAATGTTGAAGAAGCAATCGATACCATATAAGTTTGCTTCGTAATTTTTGTTTAATTAATCGAAATACTCCAATTTTAGGAAATTCTTGAGGTTTCTGGCGCGGTCGTGGAAGTGCTAAGGTGGTGCTATTCGATGCACGCGATACGAATAAAACGATCGCGATTAGACCGCGAAGACATTTATTTCAATACAGATCAATGACTTTCCGATTGCACGCCGGCCGTAAAACGCGGAATCTTTCCAGCGAATTGAAGCGCGAACAATCTCGCGAACGGCAAATGTAACGGAGAAAAATGTCTATCGCCGAGGCTCGTTCGGTATTCGCGATATTTTCGTCGCAGCGGAACGCGCGATGAAAAATAAACGAGCGACCGGGCGGGTGTCCGGCGCCTGTAAAACCGTGGATTTGCATAAACGCCCAGCGCAGCGTCGATATTCCATTGCTTTCACCACCTCGCGTGATTCTGCCTCGTGCCTCCGGCCGCGATGGATCGCGATCAAAACCGTTTCATTCAGAGAAGGAAATTCGTCGCGATGTTAAAAGGCAGGGAGGGGAGAGGCGCAGAATGAAACCGGACGGTGGCGATAAAATGCTAGAGGAAGGATAAGGAGACCGAGATAACGCCGTCGACGAGCAAAAGCTTCGATTTCGGAGAGAACGGAACAGCTCCTGTAAACTGTAAAACATCGAAGTAACGAGCTCTCCGTAGCGGACAGCCTTTGGGAAACCGCGCGAATCGTTTCCATGGAACTTTTACTCTATCCGCGGATTCTAGAAATCTTATCTCGCGAGAAAATTGTCGCGGATACATTATATGGTAAATTCTCCACAAATTAAACTTCGGCCATAAAAATGAGCCGCGAGGCTCGAATGATCGTATCAGTTCTTTCGAAATTGTCCATTCTTGTTTGCAAACCGAAGGAAAATTGGGGAGAATTCTAGTTTCGAGGAAACGACTCGCCATCGACGGTGCGTACAGTAATGTCTCCCTAACTGACGCTCAGATTGTGCAGAAAAGTGGACAATTTTGGAAGAGGAGATACGATTGTTCAAGCCTTGCGGTTCGTTTTTATAGTTGTCGACAATTCGTAACTATAAAAACGAAGAGCA